ATGACTACATAGTGAAGGCATGTGTTTTGGATTAAATAATTGTTATTGCAAGTAAAGGCATGTGTTTTTTTTGTTGTTGTTTTTTTTAATTGGCTTGTCACTACTTTAATCTCATTCAGACCCTCTGTTACATGAGCATCACTACTTGTAATAACATCTGGTCTAACCAGGCCGAAGGAGAGCAAACCTCAATGCTGACAAGACAACGACAAATAAAGGAGATCCACCTGGTAACAGAGCGTCTTCTTTTGCTTTTCTGAATCTTTATTTTGGTGCTGTAAAGTCTCATCATGCTCCAGATCTGATAATTACATGACAGGTACAAAACTGCAGTTATTTAAGTTACATTCATGAATGTTTTGAGATGCTGGGCGATTTAAGGACATTAAAGGTCCAGTACCTTCAATATCATGTACTTTTCCCTGATCTTCTTTGTAAAATAATCTGTTTATCTGGAACATCACAGCTTTAGGAATTGTCCTATTGGACGTTTATATGGTGAGGGGACTGTCACTGGTCCTGGTGATGCTTTTAATTTTTCCTCCACATGATAAGAGTTAGTTGTTGTTAATGTGGCGGGGCTACAAAAAGAGGTGGAGGAGAGAAGAATGAGGGAGCTGGGTGGAGCTGTAGCAGGATCTAACAAACCTGGGGACTCACCTCAGGGACTACAAGGTTAAATCCAAACTACCACAGTAGTCACACAGAGAGAAGACAGAGACGAGGTTCAAATCAAAAAGAAATGACATTTATTGTAGAACTGACAGGATGATTGATTGCTGGATTTCTGGAGTACCTGCGGAAAGAGTAACCTGAAGTGTCCTTGGAGTGAAACAAACCACCAACCACTCGTGAGCTCACAGCAGTTTGCAACAACTACCAAACCAGTATAGGATAAGGTGTCCCAGTGCTCTTACCACTACAACCTGTGAAGGAAAAAAAACCCGCACTAGAACGTCTAACCTCAAGCCGGCAAATTTGTACACGGAAGGGGACAATCGCCACAAATCCATTTAGCGCAATCTAAAATAAAAAATAAACTAAGACAAAGCTAGGACACACAAAGGAAAAACAGCAGCTTGTAAAACCCGTGGTATAACTGGGAATCGGCAGCATCCACATTACACCAAAGCAGGCAAACTTGGCATCACAAACCTAACAGACAACAATGTGAGGAACACAAAACTCAGAGCCCATGTGGCACTCAAGCAGAAACACAAGGCCAGTCCTGAGGACACAGGTGCTTCATATACCCTCAATCAGGGGGCGGGGCCATGGGAGGAGCTTACCTAATTCTCTGATGGTGTGTTCAAGAGCTAAATGATTAATTAGTCTCTTAGCAACATCTGCTGTCACTGCAGCACATTTCGTAATAAGATAATTAACTAATAAGAGCCATCAGGTGGATGCTGA